GCCGAGTTTTACCTTCGACATGCAACTAGGCCCATTGCAGGAAGCATACTAGGTGCTCACTGCAAACAGCCCTTTGCATTTGGTCGATTTCTGTCTGGAGAAAGTCCAGCACAGTTTTAACTCTGTACTTGACGGAGTTTCTTTGACATGCAAGCGAGTCCATTGCAGTGAGCATGCCAGGTGCTCACTGCAAAAAGTCATCGCTCTGCATTTGGTCGGTTTCTGTTTGGAGAACGTCCACCAATGTGAGCTCCTTTGCTGGTCTGTGCAAGTTTGGACAAAGGTCCAGCAACACAGGCTGAGGTTTGCCTTTACAAAATCATTGCTATCCTTATCTTCAAGTAGTGCACTAGAGAGTGGGGCTTCCAGAGAAGATCAGAAGCAGTCCAATGCTTGAATGATACGTATATACTATATACTGTACCGTACACATTCGTCAGGTCTGTCATTCTTAACCTTGCATTGCAGGCCTCGCCACAGAGACTGTTTTGCCCTTCACAGGCACAAAAGAAGGGACAATAGAAGCTGAGAACGCTGGAAGCCATCCTAATTCAGCCCTATCACCATCACTATGGCAACCTTTTACTAAATGCCCATCAATCATGCCACACCATGCTGCAAATTCAACTCAGATGTTTGATGTTCCTGGATGTTCCTGGTTTATGCCGGTTTATGTTTCTGTGAGATAACTCTTCAGGAGCTACAAGATCACCTCACTCAAAACCATTCACTTCTGGCCATAACAGGTGTCGACCGTCATGCCCGCACCAGTACTACAGGCAGCGTCGCTGTGGTTTGAAAGTCGATTCAGCTCGCGTTGAGACATTGAACCATGCCGCCTACGAACTTGTCAGCAACTTTGTTTGGTGTGTTGAGGATTGTCTGTTGAGGTTTGTTCGCAGAATGGGATGAAAAGATGTGCCAGGATTCTGCGGCAGCACCAGCTCAAGCTCGACCGCAGAGAGGCGAAGCTGACCCGATGCCACCCACGTCCACTTTATCCATTGTAACGGAGGGCATTTTTGGAAAAATGGACTCCTGTGCAAACTCGCAAAGAGGAGAACCTGAACCAAGCGAGTTTCAACTGTCGAATTCCGGAGTTCAGTTGAAGCCTTTTCTATCTTTTTTTGCTGTGATGTTGGCAGGAAGAACACGAACTGGATGGATGTAGTTCAAACCTGGACAATGTACTTACTTTGATGGGAGAACATTCTGTGGGACTCTGAACAGATGCACAATGTCGCACAAGGAGCACAGCTCAAAGCCAAGCGCGCAAGACACCAATTTGCAGTGGGATTGAGAAGGAGAGCTCGTGGCAAGGCTGGCCTTGATCACCTTGTCATGTGAGAAGCCGGGTCGGTTCTGTGGCAATTGCGTTTGGGAGTAAGAAACGTTTGTTCCAGAACCGCTGCGTGTTCGGAACAGCGACGTGTTGTCGGTCAGATGGCGATGGTGATGGCACGACAGGTTTGTTGTTGTGTTTTCTCGGTGTGTATTAAAATGTATACTGTATATCCCAGCTCGACCCCGTGGCAGAAAGAAAATAGATGAAAACCCATATCGGTTGCGGTTCTCCCCATCAACATACACACCCTTATTGTCCTAGAAAATGAATAGAAGTATAATGAAGTATACAAGCATACAGACCAAGACATTGGAGCGAACGGTTTTATATAGGTGGACGACAAACTCCAAGAGTCTAACACAGTACTGTACACGCTTTAACAAACAATGTACTTATTGAATGTGAAAGCACGCATGCACTGTCGAAAGTGTACTTTTGCACGCCAAGGTGTTTGGGATAGATTGGGGTTGGAAAAGAAACTGAATGTAATACATAAACCTGGCGCATGCCCTAAGAGAATGATGAAAAGGCCTCCTTTGGACTCCAGCTCTCCATGTCTATAAAGCGCATTTCTAAGGCATGGTCAGTCCACATGGTAATACTTTCTGGATCTTTCTGGGCTATATTATATATATATATATTATATTAGGTGCTTTCACAGGTAGGGCGCGCACCTATGGCCCACCCCAGAGCCCTAAAGGTGCCGCCTTCGTTTTCAAGAACTTCATCACTTCACAAGATTAGGCACCGATTTCTTAAGATTGTACGACATGGTCATCGGTTCCTCAGTCGTTTGCTTCACAACATTGTTGTCAACGTCTCAATGTTGTCACAATCCCAATAGATGAGAGACAGGTAGAGGGGGTGTCCATTCCAAGGTGGAAAAGGAAGATAAGGAATGAACCTAGCGATTTGTTTTGGATCGTACGATTTGGGGTTCAAGCCTGCACATCCGGCTTCTTCTGTCGGGGAATCTCTCAACTTCTGTCCGGAGATGCCTGTTTGCACACTTCTTTCCGGACATGGATGGCCCTTGTTCTTCTCGATACTTCCATTTTTAAACCTTAGGGGGAACAGTCTAAAACGATTTCTGACATGTCTTGACCCTTGAATAGTAATTAAATGGCCCGTCCACTAAATATTTATTCCAATGGGCGGGGTCACATGCTGGAATATTTTTTTGAATACTGTAATTTTAACTGGAATAATTCTTGGAGGGGGGGTCACGAATCCGATGTAATAGGGGGAGGTAGAATATTACATGCACTGATGCCAACCACTCCTGAGAATAATTTTGCTACATACGATAAGCTTGAACTCAACCCATCAACATGTTAATGTCAACAACCCCTCAGAATAACAATGCTGTTGAACCCACCATCCAATTGGAATAATTGCTTCAAGACACGTAAAGAAACGATGACTTGAAAGCGTTTGATTTTATTGCGCGCGGTTCACGATGTGTGTGTGTTTGCTCGGAAAAAAGAATGGAGTGATGAAAGATGTGCGAGTAAGCAGAAACTCATGATCTTGAAAGCACATATTCAGAGATCTACGTTGCACAAGACTTTGAACCAAAAGTGCTGACGACAGATTTCACGATATTTGATTTAAAAAACAAAAACACCCGCTTGATAAGAAAGGGGCATGCGAGGGAATGCATTTTTAGGGTCTTCATTACTGGCATGCCAGTAATGACCTGAAAATAAGGTCATGCCAGTAATACATTTCACAAGATCTTCTAGGGGTCAGAAAGGGTATTTATTGGGAATAGTATTCCACACCCTTGCCAGAACTGACACCTTTGTGGAAAAGCTTGACCTGGAAAGGTAGGTTTGCTAAGGTTTTTTGGTTGGTTTCTGTGGTGTTTGCCTAGTTGCTTTGCCAAACCTTGCCTGGCTGGACTCTTTTGTGTAGTTCTATGGGGGGTGATATTATTCCATACCAAAGGCACTGCCCTGGAATAATTGTTCCTGGCTGGCGGATGGAAGGCCGAAGGGTGAGTACTGGTAAGGCTTCTGGTCTAGGTTTGGATAGTTTGGAATCGGAAAGCTAAATGTGGAGGGTAGGTTCGCTAAGGCTTTGTGCCTGGTTGCTCTGCCGAGCCATTTCTGGCTTGTATCTAGGGACTGGGAGGAAGGGACATATTATCCAAGGAAGAATTGAACTCCCCCGGGAGTAATTTCTACTTGTTAGGAAGATAGGATACATTAGGATACAGGAGGAAAAGTACTAGTAAGGCTTGTGGTCTAGGGTTGGAAAGTTTGTTAAGGCTTAAAGCTTTTTGGTTGGTTTCTATGCTGTTTTCCTGGTGGGTATGCAAAACCCTTCCGTACTTGTAGCTTGTTTCTTTGGATTGGTTCTTGGGGCAGACAGGGCAGGTGATATTATTCTAGGCCCCTGGGAGAACTGAACCCGCCCTGGAATAATTTCTGCTTGCTGGGAAGATAGGATACAGGAGGACAAATACTATAGTAAGGCTTCTGGTCTAGGGTTGGAACACTTGTTAAAGTGCCAGTGCCTTCTGTAATTTGTTTTTTGTACCTGCATTCGATGTTTGTCGGTAGCTGTCGATCACCGCTGTGCGAATGCCAGATATCAAAGCAGGATGTCTACCTATATTTTGAGAATATGTTTGGGCTTAAATTATTCCGGTATGTCTAGACATATCAGAATAATGTTCAGAAATGATGTCTAACCCCCCAGAATAATTTCCACATTATTCCACCGCGGGGGGCTACCTAAAATCCATTAAGGCACGGCCCATGTAATTAAACCAATTACTGTATTCCTACGTTCGACGGGAGGGTCCATACTTACAAGCCTTCAAGCTCAGCATGGCTGGCCTGAAACTAGCGCTCCGTTTGGACGTCCACCGCCCTTTCCCTATAGTATAGATTTGCTCTTCAACTCTGTCTTCGATGTGCGTTCTGTCAGGGCGACCGAGCATTGTCTTCTGTTCCCTCTTTTGCCCTATACAGCCATATACAGTCCAAAGAGATCTATACAATGTATATACATGTATATGCAATTATATATATATATATTCGTTGGTTGCTTGCTTTGAGAGTGCTTTGGGACACCGAGACCTGCTCGGCGAGGTCATCACTGGGAGGTCTGGGGCGGCATTTGCACCAGTGCTGCAGAAGGCACACATGCATAGAACTGTCATCTTGACTTCATTTGTTCAACATGAAAACGTTGAGCCATGCCTGGCATACCTGGGAACTTGTTTGGTTGTTCCGAAGTGGACATTTGTTGGCAAATTAAATTGGGGTGAAATGATCAGTTGCTTCGGGTTTTGAGGATACTTCCGTTCCAGCACCACCAGCTCAACCTGGACCACAACCAGGCAAAACCTGGGAGTCAAGTCATGGAGAGCGCCAACTTTATGTTTCAATCCTTCGTGTCAGACTTCAAGTGCTATAGCTCCATGTTAAATAATGTTATATATTTGTGCAGTGTTGTCTCCAGTCTACAGTACTGTTTAGTTTCCTACAAATCTAGGAACCAAATGATTAGTGCTAGCGCTCCCTTGAAGAAGCGTGAGCTATCCTGCGTCCAGTAGGTAGACGAAGCTTACTCCCCTTACTTGATTAAGTAGGCACCTACTTATATAATTAATTAGGAGTTGGCCTTAAAGAAACAACATTGAATCTGGTGGATTCGACTTCCACCTCCATTTGAAGGTGACACTTGGCACGTGTACATCGATGGATCCTGCCGCGGCAATAGCGTCTTGGTCGGAATTGTGATTGGTCAAGCGGTCGTTTGTATCAACTTTAATGGACGCAGTGACGCATGCCGCAAGTTGTTTTAAGTGATGATTTGCTTGAATCATCTTGAATCCACATGATTTTCTGGTGTTGCTACCTGCCCAAGGGAACATTATTTGTCCTGCTAAGAACATGTGCAAAAGCAGCATTCTCCTGCGGGCTGGGGCGTGGCGGTATACCTTTGTCAGCCATGCACTCAGACTGATTTTGCAGCGTTTTGCAACCTCTTTGATCCTTTCTGACTCTCCAACCATGCTCATTTTGTCTCATTTTCTTTTACTCATGCGTGACTCCAGTTTTCTCAGTGGATTCCGGACTTTGGGGATTCTCAGTGTCTATCGATCTCTGAGGGGCACATCTGAGCGGCTCTTTTGCTCATTGTTTGGCCCGGTGATCACTTCGGCGTCCCCATCCCCGTCGGGCCCGGCGTTGAGCCTTGGTGCAGAGGTGCGGAATTAGCAGATGGAGGGTGACGATGACGAACCGGAGACCTACCGGGACATACCTGAACCTACCGGGTTCGGTAGGTAAGAATGTGTAGGACACAACGTTTCAATGGGATTCCTGTCGCAGAATGCACCTTGAAACTCAATGCACCTTGAAACTCAATGTTCGAAGTCACAAGGTGCCAAAGGTGCCATAAGGACGAGCGGTCAACAATGAAACAAGAACTGATATGAGCTCATATGAGCTGATCATATAAGCTCGATTAAAGATGTATGAGCATGTATGAGCATATATATATATAACATTACAACTGTCGACCATAAGGGAGGTCTCTCCATCAGTCAAAAAGAAGACCTGTTTGTTTTCATTGCATGGCCGTTTGCGCCACCTCGATTGGTTTTGTCGGCCAGTATGGTTCCAACAACACCGGCGAGCTGAGTGCCTTTGGTGAGGAGGGTCGGGCATTGAACTTTTGTCGTGGTGTCTCACATCATCACAAAGGGATGAAAAGGGAGACGGGAGAAAGTAAAACGGCATGTGAATGCGTGATGACTTATTATATTGAGCGCCAACCATAGCAGATTACAGATTCTTGGAGGCGCTCCTGTGGCTGCGGGATGAAGCTCCACCATCCAACTCTGGAGAGCGCATTCCGGTTGTCCTGCACTATGATTCAAAGTATGCCAAAAAGGCTGGATCGGTACTGTATGATGAGCAGTGGCTGTAAGGTATTTCTTCTCGTCAGGTGGCGTTGACTTGATTTCGTAGAAGGGCCGTTGTGACTTCAAACAGTACTTAAACAAAAAAAGGCAACTTATTCAATTCAACTCTCAACTTGAGAGGTGATCACTGGTGAGAACAAGGCCCAAAAGAATCAGCGCTTGGTGGATGAAGTGCACAAACTTTGGCGGGAAGAATCTGCAAAGCGGCGCATTGATTTGAAATGGGTGCATGGTCACACTGGCAACGCCGGTAACGAACCTTGAGCTGCTCAGAGAGTCCTGAAATTGTTAGAAGATTTCTATGAATCTATGAATCAGTGTGGATTTGTGTTTTCGTATTCCAACGCGTCGATAAGGAGTTGGCGGACACGCTGGCCAAAAAAGGAGCAACAGGCACGAACTGAGTCAATTTGAGTCAGTTCTGAGTCAAGGTGGCTGGAGCCGGAGCAAGCCGAAGCGGTGCGTACCGCTTTAACTTGTTGTTTTTAGCTCGCCGTTGCTTAATCAAGTAGGCGCCTACTGAATCAAGTAAACACGCTCCTATCTGGGACGCTTCCTTGAAGAAACGCTCGCACTATTCATTGAAGGTTCCTAGATTTTTAGAGAAACCGACTTCAAGTTTAGGGGTGCATTCTTTTCTACGCAAACCAGACAACCTTGATGACACGTTGCATGACAACCTGCAGACATTTGCAGACCAAAATAGACACCCAACATGATTGCCTGTGCATGAGGGGCCACATCCCAACCATGACCCATTTCCGAGTATATGAATATATTTTCAATGGTTGAATCAATATGTTCATTTCAGAAAAACAAATTGGCCGGCCGAACTGGCTGAAAAAGCATCCCTCCAGGCCGCTACAGCTCGGTCTCTCTTCGATGGACGGCAGCTTTGGACAGCATAGGTGTCCGAGCTTCCTCAGTGAGGTCAGAAGAAGGAGCTTCTTGTTACTACAGCAGCTAACCGCTTGATTTGAGAATTGTTTGCACATTCCCAACATGAGAGCATTGCTAGGAGAACGGCTGGAAGCCAAGCGTGCAAGACACCTATATTGCAAGAAGCAGACCTCTGGCTAGAACCGCCTTCTCTCCACCACTCTGATGCAAGACCTTGCAAGTACCAATGCTGCCAGATTCCTGATATATATATATATATATTGTTTCTCTCTCTCTCTCTCTCTGTCTGAGCCCTTTGTTCTCTTTTGTTGGTTGCGAAATTGTGAAAGTAAATCTACCGCTTGTATCTCTTGCAGCTTCGTTTGTGCAAGTCTCAGGACAATCTCCTTCCGAGTCACATGTGGATATCTTGCTCTTTGGGCCTTTGAGACTTGCTCGAAGCAGTCGGTCTGTTCAACAAATCCGAATATATGTTTGACGCAGGATTGACATCTTGCTTCTATTGACATCTTGACAGCAATTAGCACTAGAAGTTCAAATCAGTTCCTCGAAGGAAGGGGGCGCCTTTGGCAGAGGCAATCTTGTCATTTGGAAGTTGGGAGAATCTTGCTTTAGGCTGCATTGATTCCATGAATGATTATGATACTGTAAGTCTAATAATTCAAAGCCTTCACGCATGTTTGACTCCGTATCAGGGCACGTATAGCTTTAGCCAACCTGTTCTGCTTGTGTGTAGAGTCGTTAGCGAAGCCCAATTTTGGAGGTTGTTCAGCAGCACCCGTCTGCGGCAATCAAGGCTTTGCTCTTGGCACACAACATGTATCAATGGACCTTTTAATTGAAGAACATAGTCAATGGATGTGAATGGTGTGTGTTCGATTAGTTTTGTATTTTTCTACCATTGGTAGCTAAGGCATTGGCGACCTTGCAGAGCTACTTGAAGGAGACAGGACTTTGGGAGGCACGCGTCTCTTGTGTTGCAGTGACAGCATGACAGTTGATTCCAGGCCTTCGTAAGTGCACAAAGCGATCAGAACAATCGCCCTCGGCAAGAAGCAGACGTTGGCCAAGGCAGGTGTGGAGGAGAGTGGATGAGGATTGCTTCCGGCTGCCTTGCACAGGTTGGCGACAGTTCAGCTGCCCTTTAGGGCAGGGCATGCCACGAAGAATGCCTCCAATTCGCGTTGACTAAAAAGCCGCTTGTGTCGGGAAACATTGCTTTACTTGATTCGCATCACCTGACACTGAAGCTCTGTGCAAAGCGAACACAGTATGTGCGCAGGTCAAATGTGCCTGTTGTCATCCTTTGGGCCGCCCAAGGCTCAGGCCATTGCACAGTACCCCATAGTCAGGAAATCGGAATTAGGCCAGTAATTCGGTCGGGTTGGCAAGTTGGAGTCCGTTCCTTGGCCTGGCAGAGTGCCAGCAGGCAGTGATAGAAGGGCAGCGACACAGACCTGTAAATACAATGTATAAAACAGTGAGTAGAAGTAGAGTCTTTTGGGCTCCTTTCAAACCACATTTTGAATGAATGAATTCTGGGAGAACTGAGACCAGAGGATCCAAGACCACAAACAGCACCTCCTGAAAAAGGAAAACACGTGCGGCAAGCACGTTAGCCAAATGCCTGCAGACACAGTTTGAGCATGTTTGAGCTCCATTATATTATACGATATTATAAGCATGATTACAGGAGGCCTTTGAGTTTAGTTCTTCACCTCAGGTTGGGAATTGAAATGAATTGAACATTAGATACAATGTCTTACCTGTTGTGTGGTTGCGGCACCCCAAGAAGCGAGAGCAGTGCAGTTCACGGCTGCTCCCATGCTGTCTTTCAGCACGAGGTCCATTCGGCAGCTTTGGTGATGGCGATTGCTGAAAAGGCCTCGAGTCGAGATTCCAAAGGCTTTGACCCATGCTCCCCACTTGATCCCACTACTCATTGATGGGCACAGTCTTTCTATGTTTTTCTACTTCATGGAAGGGTGCGGCAACCCTGTACCCTGTTATATACAAATGATTTTAGCATATCAGGTACGTAGACTACATAGATACAAGGAATTGGAAGCGCTTCTTAGCTGGCTGATCCTGTGTGGTGCAGGTGGTTGCAGGAAGACTTGTGTGGCGCCACAAGTTCGCTTGGATCTACGTGGCACAACTTGCCTTCTTTTCCATGTGACCTGCAATTGTCGTAAGTAAAGTGTATATATATATATTTAAAGGGATGTATCAGCTTATATCAGACTATATACATGTAACCTGAGATGCATGGAGCCTGAAATTGCAGATGTTTCCCACAGCGCAAAGCTCAAAAGTAGCCGGGCGGACGCTTAGACGATGTGCTTCAAGACGCAGGGGAGCTCAGCAGAGAGTGGCTTATTAGACGATCGGGAGCTCAGTAGCAGAGAAAGCGCCCTATGAGTACCATGTCCCAGGATCTCAGTACTGGGCTGGGTGAACTTCGTAACAGGCTTTGATGCGTCTTGGAAGACATATGAAGAAATTCCTAATTATTTGTAACTTAGCAGAGCTTTGTTTTTTTGAAAATCAAGACATGCAGAGCATTTGGAAGAAAAAAGAACAATCAAGTAAGGAATCAAAAACATTCAAGAACCACCCTACCACTCTTGAGGCTGGAATACCAGATCACGCTGTCCCTGCTTTCGGCGAATGTGTTGGTGGAACATTGCCCACACGCTGTAGGGTTAGACATTTGAAGCATTTCAATTGGAAGCTGACTCTCAGCTGAACGAGTGGGCGACCGTTTCCGTTTGTTTGTCACGGTTGACTAAGAGGTGTCCACAACCCTCTGGTGAATGTTGCCGTTCTTGCGGCTGGCAAGTGGCCACCCCATGGGGGAGGGTTTGACATAAGGAATTGCTAAGGCATGTGAACAATCAAGGGAATGGAAAGGAAACTCTGTTGAAATGACTCCACTCTGGAGCAGGCCATAAGCTGCATGAGCACTCATAAACATAAATAAACAAATTCCTTTTTTGTCGCCACACACACTCATCCCGATCAAACTTCACTATTACCCCGCTGTACAGATCACAATCATGCAGTGCGTAGATGCACTGTAGCCACTGCTGAGCCATGCAGGATAAATGTGAATGCTTATGTCATTTTTATCCTACATCATGCCTCCTGTAGGACCTACATGTTGTTTTTGAAGATGTGATGTGATATCATTAACTTTCAGCCTCCAATATACATTGCATCCATTTGGAAACATAAGTGTAGGATTCCAAAAGCATGTGTGCATATTGTTTGCACTGCTTACTGCCAAAAATAAAACACTCTGATATGCAACTTTTCCAGCACTTCAAGACACATCATTTGCAGTCCAGAAACCTTTGTTGTGAGTTCTCAAAAAACATGTGTTGGCTTCCACAGTGGCATGTGACACACACAAAAACAAATGATGAAGAATATTTTTTGAAGTGCCAAAACACAGCTGTCCATCATCCAAAACACATGTTTTTGATCAGCAAAAAATATACATTACATAAAAAATAATACTATACTAAACTGCATGGACAACTACCATATACTACCATGTGCGTAGGGCGCCACCTCATGAAGCGCAAGAGCATTCTAATCACTGTTCCCAGCCACATATGGACAACACTAACGATTGACCCTGTCCAGGGACCTTAGCATGCTGTTGCACTCTATTGCACACAAAGTCACCGCGTAGCTGGATTCCCACTTTCTCAACCACTCTGCGCCGGCATGTGCTTGCAAGGTACTTGAATGTTCTTTGTAGCGAAGTGCCTCGTTCGGTGGCAAGAGATGCCATACTGCAGGCACCATGCTGTTTCGGGTTGGAAGCACACATTGCTTGGTTCCCCAACAGCGCTCCTAAGAATTGGACCGTTCTGCATGTCAAACGGCGATACATCAACAACACATGGACATTTTATGACAATAGTCAAGGTTAGTACATAAGGTCATTAATGTCGCTTGACTCGCCGAACGGACGACACTAATTGACTGTTGGCTGCTCAGAGGCCTTAGCGCACTTCGACGCCGAAAGCGCGCGCAGCTGCCCAGAGGGCTTTGCCGTGACCATGTTGGCACTTTCTGCTTCAGGAGCGACTAAAGCAGAGGACCTTTGTGACTACTGAGACAAACCATTTCATACTCTTCATACCTTTGTCAGGGACACAGGTTGGCTGCGAGCAGTAAGATGTAACAAGTAGTAAAAAGGAGTAGTAAGGAAGCCGTCAGTTGGACAGAAGCTATTACAAGATCTATATACATTCTACATTCTTTGTGTCCAAATTGAAGGCACAGTGCTTACCGTGTCTTCTTCTCTCTCGGTGTCGATGAAGGAGCTGTGGAGTTCGATGATCAGATCATAAGCTTCAAACCAGATGGCAGCGCCAATTTCCTTGTCCTCGCCTGGGATTTGCAGACAGGACAGTTCACAACACCTAGCAGTGACAATCGAGGGGAGCCTGAAGATCTTTGCACGTGAGCTCTTTTTGTTTACTGGAGTTTTTGTCAGATCTTGATCTTAATTCTGGCTCACAGCATACGGTAGGGTCAGCATGCTTGCGACTTGCTTATCCACTTCATTTTGGCAACTGCATCACCCTCAGTCTTTGATCTCGAAACGTGTGGTTGAGCTACGTTTTCAATACGACTTGGTCCAAATTTATCGATTCTTTTTTTGCGAACGTACTTGGACTTTGCAACATCAACTTGCTATATTTTGCTGGGAGATAGTTTCTGAATCCAGACGCTCCTAAGCCGACAGGAAAGCCTGTTCTGGATCACTGGTTTTGATCTTAGTGTGTTGCTCGATTTTGTCGCGAGCACAGACCAATCCTTTTGAAACCCAGGAAGTACGTAATTATATACAAGATTATGTAGTTTATACATGTTGATGAGAATATTTTTGTAATTCTTTGTGTTATGACACTAGTAAGTGTTTTTTTACCCGTATGATATGGGACCTCCCACAACAGGCATCAAAAAGGCAATACGTTCAGGATCTACATAATTTGTTACAGCATGTTCAGGTTTTATTCCTTGTCTCTCCAAATGAGGTCAACCAGCCTACCACCGCAGCTTGCACTTCCCCCGCCATGGCCTGCTTTGTGGAAATACCCTGGACCGCTTGGACGTATCCGCCAGGACAGGGTGAGGAATGAGAACGGATCAGACCGGTTGTGGAGGCGTCCCGTCGACACGCTGTCCAGTCCGATGGCCAGGCCCAGGACCTGAGCTCGTTGATCGAATTGGATGCTTCATCATGTGACGAGTGACTTGCTGAAGGGCAACGTCGGCATGGCCTAACGGCAGTCTTCAGGGCTTGAAGAAGCTTTTTGCATGATGAGGATGAGGATGAGGATAATGAGGATCATGTTCATCACCCGGCATTCAATCATGGTGTCGTGTGTTGGCAAAAGAACAGACGACACCAGAACAGGGGTAAACAGGGCTAGGTGAGCATTCTGCCTCCTAGACTATTCCCTTGAATGCGTCAAGCTTGCCTTGGCCACGGCTCTTCTGATATTTTTGGATATGTTTGGGATTTGATTGGATGACGAGAGTCCACAAGACTGGTTGAATCATGAAAGGGTGGCATCTATGGGACTTGGAACACTTTGGAACTGGAACGAGACAGCCAACATGTAATTCCGTAGTCTTCCATACCGCCACGTTACAGTAACACGACATTGAAAAGGGATCAGATTTCTAGATGCTGGAACTGATACACTGTGCATTGAGCAGATACAATGTATTCCACTTGCTTGAATATTCTTCCCAGTCTGCATATTCCAGTCACAGTTGCTTCTTCGCTTCTTTGCCAGACCTCGCGACCCCGAGGCGAGCCTTGAAGATGTTGGGCGCCTGCACAGAGAAGCTTTTGCTGCTTCGGCTACTCTGCAGCTCCTGCGATCGGAGCGGCTTGCCGTGTTTGCTCCCAAGCAGCACTTGACATTCGACAAACAGTGACTTTCCAAGATCCAAGTTTTGCCAAACCATGCCAAACCGAAACCTTTGCTGCCCTAGCTCAACCTGGATGGATCCTCTTATTCTTCCCTTTGTTGCTTCTGTTGCTTCAGGTTCGGACAGAATTTGATGAGTTACATCACTTCAGAGCTCAAGGCACCAGATTACTTCTTATTCTGGCAAAGACACTAGAAACAGAGGCAACGGATGCAAATCTCCCACACAACCAAATGTCAGGAGCTTCAATCTCGCGCTTCACCACCCAAGTGTGGCCATGCGGTGCTGGCAGCCCTGTTGGCGATGAGCCTTGGATACTCTGTATCGTAACTGTATCGTAGGTATGCTGGGGGCGATATACCGGATATGCTGGGGTTAAATAGTATTAAATAGTGTATATTAATATGAATATACTGTATATATATGAATATATATATACAGTATATATTTTGTTGTTGATCAATACATATCAATACATAGCACGATCGACTCAGGAACGGAAAATCTGGTGCTGTGGCTCCAGAGACAGACTCGCAGGTCTACCGACAACATAGCACTGGACGCTTGATACTGCACAGCAAGCTTAGTCGAGTTGCTGGAGATGCAGACAATTTGCTTCTCAACTTGAAGATGTTCAATCCTCGAGCAATCACACCGAAAGAGTTTGACATAGGGATGGACAATCGATGAACATCGTGGAGTTCAACATTTAGTCGTCAGTTCAGTTCAGTCTTTTGTTTGATTCTGCTGGGCACTGGAGGTTTGCATTGAACATTCCAATGATGAACCTGGCACCCTTTCCTTTCCACACGGCGATGCTGCGCAGTGCACGCGGCTCGGTGCAATCTCCGGACTATTACCAGGACCGAGGTTGGCTCTTTATTTATGCTGTTTGTTTGATGCCCAAGCCCAAGCTCCGGTTTGATGTGCAATAATTCAACAGAAAATGACGACCATTGCATACCATTTACAATCATTGGTGTGTCCGCTCTAAGCTCGCTCCTAACCTCCAGGAGGCTTTGATGCTTGTGTCTCGATCTCTCGAAAGACGAGGGATTTGGCACATCCTTGTGCCAGGAGGCAAGGTGTGTGTGTGTGTGTGCAAGATTTGGCATAGAACATGCAGACCTGCAGAATGCATTGCTTCCCCCTGCAGACTTTTCTGCTGGCAAGCAGCAAAGCTTGAGCCGCCAATCCATCATGCTGAGCGTGTCATTCTACACACAGAGCTTTGCCCAAATCGAATCACATCAATCGAAGATCTACTGCGCACATCAAATTACAACATATATTAATATCATATATTACAGTATTACAACGAGCAGTCATTTGCATGTTTCATGGCTTGGTGGTAGTTTTCAAGTTCATTCTTGTATTTGTACTGCAGCTACGCATTGCAGCTGAGGAACCTTACTTTTCTGGAAGAAGAGCTTGGGCATAGATTGCATGGGATTTGGCGATTGGTGCACGTCTCGCCAGGTGGGTGTATTCACATATATATTATGTACAGCTTACATTGCTTGTTATGCTTTCCAACTTTGGATCTATTTCTGATATTTTTGGCAGGTCTATTGCAAATTGGGGAGGAGCCCTTCCGCTTCAGCCCTCGTTCTGGCGTTCATTTCCGAACATTTTGCAACTCTTGTGTACCTTGGCACTGGTGTGTGTGTGTGCTTTGTTCCTTTTTTAAGGCTTGTATATAGAGGAGCATGAGGATCTCATAATCGTAAAGTTCTTGGTTCCTTTCGCAGAAGACGCAGCAGGTCTGAAACTGACAAGCACAGACCGATTGTTTGTTTGCTGGTTCTCCACCCCTGTTGCACAACTGCAGAGCAGCAGAGGAAGGGTGACTTCAACTCAGGTTTACTTCTCGCTCTACTTCTACGTTTGGGATGCCTGAATGCAAACAGTTGTGGCCGAAGGACAAAGACTGGGACTCTTTTTGCAAGACGATAAATCAGAGTTTTCGGACTTCTAAGGAAGAAGCCCTTGTTACTAGTAGCTTCTTGTTCCTATTAATCAGAGGCGTTTTCGCATTTCTAAGGAAGAAGAATATATCTTTCCTTTGGCGCCCTGGGTTCCTTGCCGGATACCTTCGCGGCGAGTCTTCCCACCACGTCACGACGTAGCTCTCTTAGACTTGCAGTGATCAATCGAGAGAATTATGATGATCTGGCATGGCCTGTCCTTTATACAGTTATACATGTTTATCCTTTACTCTACGCAGAAGGTCGCACTTGGCATAATCCCGGCTGGTTGGACGTAGGGTTGTGTTTTGCTTTTACTGCAGAGAAGATGCAACATCTGACACACACAGACCCAGTAAAGGAAGCTACTGTTTAGTTTTGGATTGGATGCTGTTGGAGTTAGAGTGGGTCAAGGTGTTTTGCAGCTGGTCACTGCAGTGCTGAAGGGCTTGTTACCTGATTTGACATGTTTTTTGAGGTACTGCCTTTGGCTGCAGACTCTTTGTGGATTCGCTTCACGCAACGTGCGGCGTTCATGACTCGGATAGAGAATGATCGTGAGCATGGTCAAGGATTTGATGTTTGGGGTCTTCGGATCTACAAGGTTTTCTATGGTTTTCTCAGTGGATGTCATATTGACATATTGATATTGCTTGATCAACAACGGTAGCCCTTACTGCAACGCGCTGGTTTTTGATCGTTGGAAGCCCAAGGCTGCCACCACAGTCTGATTGTGTTCTTCAACGTAGAAGGCACGTGCTTTTGGGCCTTCCAGCTCAGCCCTGCTTTCCAGTTACAGTAGGGCCTTCTTTGTTTGTTTGATCGGTACTTCTTTTACACATTGGCAGGTCAAGTTAAGGTCTATGAATGTTGTTTTATTGCTCTGCCATGAAATCTGGAGTGAGCAGATGGTTAATCTGGAGTGAGCCAATTTTGGAATTGGCCGGTTCTTCTCTAAGAAGGAGTCATCGCAAGGCTGACCAAAGATGTGGCTGTTGCAGAGGAGCCCAGCTGTTCGAGTGTGGGCGTTCCAGAATATCAAGGTTTTTTTGTCCACTACACCCTGACCAACAGCCGAGAAATGCGATATTATATCAAAGGTTGAGTTTTGCTCCGTTCCGGAAGCAACATGTCAGTGTGCAAGCCTGGGCAGAACAGGAGCTGTCATTCCAACAGTGGCCGTCTGATTTGGATCCAGCATTTGATATCTCAGAGCCTCACCTGCAATGTTGTTGCAAGTCACACAAGTCACGAACGGTAGCTTTAGCTAATTTTAGCTACCTGAGTTCTATTAGCTTTATCTTCGGGGCAGGTTCCTCCCACACGCCTTGACTTTGGGGTCGCGAAAGGCGATTCTTCATCACAGGGGAACAACAAGCACAACAACAGCTAGAAAGAGTAACAAAGCCACGGAACTACAAAGAACTACTAGGAACAAGAAGCCGGATCTCTCGGGCCCCGCGGATCAACTCCCCGCTGGGACGGGTGAATTTTCCTTCTTAGTAACAAGATGTAACAAGTGCATCGCTTCTAATAACAAGTGCCTTACTGGAAGGAACACGAAGTGTGGATGTAACAATTCTAAAGACAGTGTAGGGTGGAGGAGGACATCTGGTCCCATTTTGGCTCGAGGCCAAGGGACCAGATCGAAAAGCGCGATGGCAAGGTCAAACGAAGGCTCATTTTGGATTGCAAGGAGAGTGGCATCAATGACTCCGCTGACAAAGGAGGCAGGCTTGTACTGCCTCGAATCAGCGACGCTGTAGATGATGCATTACACTTGATGCATTGTGGCGAGGGCCATGAAGACTCCAGCCTGGAATGGCTGGTGCTAGACTTTACAGACTGGTTTTTCAACATACCACTCCACCCTGATGAGCGGAAACACTTCGCCATGTCATACAAGGGCACGTACATTGCTTACCTGACACAAGCGCAAGGTTCAAGGAACGCGCCCTTGATATGTGGACGTGTGGCGGCCTTAGTAGCTAGACTGACTCAGGCCATGTTTGATGACACACAGTACCGGTTGCAGATTTATGTGGATGACCCATTGATCTGCACTTATGGTACAACAGAGCAACGTCAGATGTGGATGACCATCACGGCAACTGGCATCAGGTTGGCTTACAAGAAGGCGGCCAGAGGCACGGATCTAATTTGGATCGGTGCCCAGCTGACCGCGAAACACCAAGGCAAGAGAGATGCGTGCATTCTAGTGCAGGCGAAACCTGAGATCGTCAGTGAGGTGATTGCCATGACCGAAGAGCACAGAAAACACAATCTCATTGCACGCAAAGCATTGCTGACCTACATTGGCAAGCTCAACCACATCGCTGGGATAGTCGAACAACTCCGGCCATTTCTCACTGACCTATATGGGGTTGTGCATTGCACTGAACACACTAGAGCGCCGACCAATTGTTATTGGTCTAGACAGTGGCAGCATGTTACATGCTGGATGACGGCATTCTTGGCGCATGAGGGTGCCCAACTGCGTCGAATTTACCGAGTACAGGCGTACTTTGGAAAAGGCTATAGTTACTGATGCGTCTCCATGGGGCATTGGTGGCTACATGATGCTGGGTGACAATGTGTTGGCGTACTTTGCCAGCACTATAGACCAACAGGATGAACATATCCTGGACGTCCAAATAGGGTCACCTTCCTCGCAGCAGGTACTAGAAGCGTTGGCAGCATTGGTTGCACTCAAAATCTGGCGGAAGTACTGGCGACAGTGCGGTGTACACCTGATTTTCAAGAGTGACAGCGTCAGTACATTGACATTGTTGATCAAGCTGAGGCCCAAAATGGCATCCCAGGGATTGGGCATCATAGCGCGTGAATTGGCCTTAGAGTTCGGTTGCTGCAGCTACAAGCCCAGGTATTACCACCATATCCCTGGCATTGCCAACGATTGGGCCGACCATCTCAGCCGTTTGAGCCAACCCGACAAACACTATCAGATACCGGCTGTCTTTGCACACTGCAGGCGAGAGCAGTGTCCACACAGGAGCGTGGGATTCTGCCGCTCCATTTCGACCGCAAAGCAAGGCAGTTCAACAGGGTCAAATGAACCGCAGACGTGAACCCAACAGACCCGAGGCAATGATCTCACACGGCAAAAGAAGAAAGAGCGCTCTTTTTAGGAGTCAATTTTGCATGTAGCGAGCGTGGGCACCGCTCACTGAAGTCTGCGGTTGCACTGTTCGTTGAGCGTGGGCAACCGCTCATTTCATACGGATTCCTGAGCGGGGGCAACCGCTCGTCCACTCAGCCAAGCTCCCGAGCCGCCTTATATATTCATATCTCTACATATATCACTCCTCCCTTTGGGACGTTACATGTACACACACACCTGCTCAGGACCAGGGCGTCAGAAACTACGAGGCGCACAGGCCACAGGTGGTCACTCGCTGTTTCCAGTGTGCGTGAGACGCTTGCGTTTTCTGTTTGCTGCTTTTGTGCTTGGTAAAAGGCTCAAGCAACATGTACTTTGCACTGATTGGTAGGTGGCTCAAGTGACATGCACTCTCGCTCGGTTTGATTGATAGGGGCTCAAGCAGCATGTTTCGTGCGCATAAACGCAGACGGGTGAATCACCCTGGATTGCCTGTGGTGAATTTAGGAGCGACACTTGTGCCACTCCATGGAGGAAATTTGAGGGCATCGCAGCCGAGTGCGACGGCCTCTGCTCGACGTGTAGGTTATCCCACCCCCAATACTGCTGAGGCACCCCCGTCTGCCAGCAACTCAGCCAGACCGTGGTTAGCGCCCAGACAAGACACCCCTGTGTGCAACTACACACGGAGGGCACAGAGATCGGCCGACCCCGGTGTTTGGTCAAAAGAAAGGCAGGAGAAAGCCCTCAAGGACTTGGAGCGGGACTACCTAGCTTCGAGTGCCGCAGGTCCGGCGCAGAGTGTCATCAAAACATGGCAGCTCATGCACGAACATATGCATGGATTAGATGTGCCTGCATTCCCTTTGACCGTGGACAAGATCACACGTGTAGCTGCTGCGTTCAAGGCGCAGGGATATCGCAGCTATGCCAATTACCTGTCAAAAGCTAAGGAAATACATGTAGCTACCTTCGGAGACTGGACCGCGGATTTGCAACTGGCTGCAAGACGCACTACTAGGAGCGTGACCAGGGGCATTGGACCGGCCAGCCAGCGGACCCCCTTAGCCACAGAGAAGCTGATCGATGCTTACGTCATGAACCCTATAGGACCAGAACCCGTGGTTCGAGAAGGACCAGTAGGGGCACACAACCTCGTTGTAGTCGGCACCTTTTTCATGCTACGTGAAGCGGAGGCCTCGTTGTTGCTGACCGGCAATGTGTCTTTTGACAACCACGCTCGCACAGTCACACTGAGGTTACCTTGTAGCAAATCAGACCCTTCGGCGGCAAGTGTGGACAGGACATGGGGCTGCCTTTGCAAAACCCACCAAGCGGCGGGTTGCCCCTACCATTGTGCCTTGGACCAGCTCGAAAATCTAAGATTCTTGAACCCCGAAGAGGAAATGCTTCCCTACACCCCCTTTTTCCCCCAGAAGGACTTCACCGCGGTGGAGAAAAGGAAGGTCATTGAGACCTTGGAATGGACGCACGACCGCATAGGTGCGGCATATTTGGACGAGGACGGCCACTCCACTTTGGGGGGCCACAGCATGCGACTAGCCGGTGCCCGCATGTTGACGGCTGCCGGCCTGCGTGTGTATCAAGTAGAACTCATGGCAAGATGGAATTCGCCCATGCTTCTTCACTATGCCAAGTCAGCACCTTTGACTAAGGTTACTCAGGAGTATGAAGACTCCACACAGATTGGTGGGTTGAAGAAGCTCTTGGACAAGCTACACGCCCAAATGAACGAAATTAGGGTGAACTGTCGGCTGGGCGGTTTGACACCGGATATGGTAGACCTTCGCCTCACACAACTTGAGGTAGACTTCAAGAACCTTGACAGTCGAACCAAGGACATGGTCAGGGACCAACTTACCACCTTCAGGACACGCTTGTTGGACAGGCCCGTGGAGTTCGTCAAGAATATGAGCCGAGGCACTTGGCACAAAGTCCGACGCGATGGACTAGGTCACGCGCCGGTGACTTGGAGCGCCCGGTGTGGTTGGAAGTTTGGGAACGCAGATTTCGTTCGCGCAGCTCAGATACCTAATTCAGACGTTACTCTTTGTGACAAGTGTTGGAAGCCTGGGAAACAGGAAACTGACACGTCAGACACCTCAGATAGCTCAAGCAGCGACGCCTAAAACGAGCGGCTTGAGGCAACAAGAGATGTGTGTCCATGGCAGATGCTAGGGAGTGTATTGACCTCTCTATGCTCGCCAGGAACCTCCGGTGTGGCACACCACCGAGATCAACTCACTCGGACACCAGGCAGGGCCAGTGAGAGTGGTGCCCCCGTCTTGGCCCTGCAACTTTAACCTTACTGGCATCTTGTGAAAACGTTCGCTTGGCTGGGTGGGAGGGACACAGTCTTGAATGAATTGTTAGTAGTAACAAGAAGCCATTAGAATTAAGTTAACATTAAGTTAACTTAACTAATAGCTTCTTGTTACTACTAGTAAGGCACTTGTTACTAGAAGCGACGCACTTGTTCCTAGTAGCGTTCGTGTGAGCTTCATATCTTCGTGTCGAGCTCCTCTCTCCTCATCTTTGGTGTGAGTTTCGTATCTAGCTTCGCCTCCATCCTCGTTATGTTGGTTCTTTTCTACTGGTGCTGCAGCTTTGGTGTGATTGGATTCGTTTTGAGCTTCTCAGATGCTGCTGTTGGTTTGTTGCTCTTGCTACTGCTGCTGCTGCTGCCGCCGCCGCTGCCTTGCTGCTGCTGCTATTCGAATCCCACTGATCTCTCTCTCTCTCTCTCTATCTCTCTCTCTCTCTCTCTCTCCTCTCTTCTCTCTCTGTCTTCTCTCTTGTTTATTCGACCCACCTCTCTCAAAGGTGACTTTATTGAGCTACCTTTCGTCCACCCTCTCCCCGTCAACTTGAATGGACAATCACTTACAAGAGATAGCTTGGAAGCAAACTGCAGAGCTTACGACAGAAAACCCGAAGTAGTGGCCTGAAAGGAGGCCATCGGTCTAGAGTCTAGAAATACATCAGAATGCTAGTGGCAAGAATACAAAACAACAGAATTCATTCCAACTTGCAAGTAGAAAGGACTTTGGTCTGACACGCCTTACCCCTTGGGCTCCGTCACAGCAATCGAAGCAAGCATGTTTGGTTTTTTTTTCACGTTCCAATCACCAAAGGACGGTCTTCATGACAACATGGGCCTTTATGACTTGATGCGGCGGCGTGAGGAGCGGTTGCAGAAAAGCACACCATTTCCATTTTCCTCCTTGAGGTGTGGTCTTCAGTGATGTCTTAATTTCAATCTTTGCAAAGGTGCTTCTGTCAGCCTTCTTAGAAGGGTCGTCAGGACAGTGAGGAACCCGGGCTACATCGATTCTCTGACAAGATTCAGTTCAAGTCTTGGATGATGAAGGAGTCGAAACTTGCCAGCATTGGCTGGGCATTTGATCGCTTGATTAAATACCGCACATGGGTTTTCCGTCCAAATCAAGAAAGTCAGGTACAGCAAACAGGTGTGTGTGTGTGTATGTGCGATCAACGTCTTTTGTCAGGTTCCCCATTGCAAAGATCTACCATATGTCAAGCACTTCACCAGAAGTGTTCCTCGACAAGATAGAAGGGCAGAAGCTGTATGTAGCTGTCAAGTTGGACATTGCTGGACCGGTTCTGCAAGTATTCGCGCGGTTGTTCCCGAACAAGGACTTTCGGACTTTCTGCATGAACCTTTGCACATTGTCTCACTGCGAAGATAGTTACTTTAAGTTACTTGAAGCAAAGAATGCCGACGTGACACAGCATAATGGTTTGCAACCAATCGGGAATGATCATTGAAGAGGTGCATCCTTTTGCAACAAGGCCAGGAGGGTACAGTGCTTTACATGTGCTTGCTAGTTGGTGCCAAGCTGTCTTCTACACGAACATTTGCATTGTTTTTTTTGTACTATTTTGCTTCATCCTGCTCCTTCTACTTTTTCACTTGCGGTGTGCTGACCTTGCTGAGTGCATCAAGCAGTTTGGGCTGTTGAAGTTCCAGGACATGACGTGTAACATACTTAACAAATTAATGACACTGGGGTTGAACAAGCGGTGGACTGGTTGGTCATCGTGACAGGTTGCTTTGTGTGTGTGTGCTTGCATCCCTATGTACGGCTTGGGTACCTAATGTGCAGTCGCAAATCCAAAGCGTGAAAAGCTACACAAAGTGGAAGACGCCCACACCTGCACAATCGCAGGATTTCATAAAGTGACTACGAGGAGAGCAAAGCAGCTGTACATGAAGTGCGGCATTCGCATTGTTTATCAGTTTATCACTAAGAGCTTTCTCATGTACAGAATTCCAAAGGTCCTTGACAAGTTCGCACTACCCTGGCTTTGCTGGAGGCAAGGCTGAACAGCAAAACCCTTGGTGCCTGTAGCTTTCTCAAACCTCAGTGTAAACTTGGTACCTGCTGAATGGGCGCCTGCTGTTCACCTTTCTGAAGCCGTGGTTTAGCAAGGGATGGGTGATGTGCACATTCTTTTACGCAGCCATGAAATCGTTGGTGATTTGACACTCAACTACCCGCCACTTGTCATTGTGTCCTTGTGAGGCTGACGGTGCTGCATAACCTTTCTCTCTCTCGCTTTGTTGCTAAGCCAACCCATTTGGCAGCGACAAGCTATGTGTCTCTAGGTGAAGATTGGTCATACATTCGTCCGTCAACCAAATGTTAGCAGCAACAGAGGACAGAAATCAACCAAATGTTAGCCGCCGTGTTGCAAGGTTTGCACAACTTGTGAGGTACGCAATGAAGAACGGGATCAATATTGTCAATGGCAATCGGGTTTCGCTTCATGAGATCGAGATGGGATTGAAGGAAGCGTGGAATGACAGGCAAGCGTGATGTGAATGACAGTGCTGAACACTTGGACACTCGCCATCACTTGCCCATTTATTAGGCATTTGGATGATTGGGCCACAGAATCCACCACTCCAGGCATCATTGTTGAGGTGGGGGGCTGGGCTTCTGAAAGAGCTCGAGCAAGATTTAGAAGCATTGACAAAACAAGCCGATCGAAGCATGTAGGAATTGGTCGAAGCCGAAAGCCGAGCCTTTGGAGCTCCTGATGAGTTGCCCGGAGCTCGTCACTGCCTGGAAAGCGTGGAGCATGAGAAACTAGTTTGCTTAAGGAAGTGCCAAACGTTTTGGGGCACACTCTTTTTTTGTGAATGGACCTTCGTCCAGACTCTCAGCTGCAAATCAAGGACAAATCTCTGCAGTTGTGCACTGACCTGCAAGAGTGTGCAGATAGATAAACTCAATTCTTACTTTTGTATACTTTTGTTAGTTGAGGAACATGACATCTGGCACAACTGGCTCAGCCCGCTTTGAAGATGCCAATCAACAGGGCGACCGAGCTCAAGCAGCAATGGGGCACAAGGCAGAAGGTGAAAGAATGAGAAGGAGAGCAGACTTTGACAGCAAACTTTGGTTTTAAGTTATATAATCTATGTTTTATGCTACTTTTGGTACCTAGATTGTGCTAGTATATTGAACGTGTTTTGACAGTCTACGCACACATAGATGGTCGTTGTAGACCCAATAAATTCGATCAAGATTTGAGTTGTCGGCTACAATTTTCGAGCTCAGCCCTCTGGAGGCATGTGGGATTCCAAACTTTGCATCCAGGGGCATCACCGCTGCACCAAGCCTATCCTCGCCCGGCCACCCCCCTCTTTGAAGGGTCAGCATGAACAGCAGTGCCTGTTACCGGCTGTAAGGGAGTTGTATATGTAATGGAACAGTGTGCGAGTTTTGGGATACAAGTTGTACTTTGGATGTCACAAGACCTATTTATTGTTTCTAGCAAACATTGTTCCTAGTAGTAGGGCCAGGAGCCCCGTTTGTAGCGTCCGATCGCTCCTAGTAGCGATGCCCTTTGCTCCGTTCGTAGCGTCCGATCGCTCCTGAGGCTACATTTTCCGGGATGGCAGCTGCATGGATTGCACCGAAGCGCTTCCCTTGACAGCTCAGGCCAGCCTAGTTGAGCTGACCAATTTGACTGACCAGCTCCAAAATAGGGTGTTTGAAGTCTGACAGGTTTGGCGCCAGCTTGTGCAGACAGTTGAGAAGATTGCGAAGGGTACAGACCATATTCGAATCGACCTTTTTGTCGCAGGTGCTTGGAACAGAACAATTGTGCAGAATAAGTGTGAATCACTAGCAATACATCACAGACAAATGTTAAGTTTAGTCGATTCAACATTCTGCCTAATTTGTCTAGAGGTGGAAACATTCTTGTCAATGAAGCCAATATCAGCTACTTCTTGAAAATTCAGATTGGCGTGCAGTTTTTTTTTGCAGTACTGCAAAAGGTTCTCATTGATCTGAGTGGGCAGACCAAGTTCAAGTTTAGAGCTGTCCTCCAAACTCTTTGCAGCCAAGGCTTTCTGAAAATATCAAAGTTCCCAGCGGAACTGATTGAGGAGATGCCTCTCGTTAGCAATCTTACGATAGAAGTCAAAACATGCCAAAACAGCCCGTCAAGTGTGCCTCCGCAAAAGCATGCAGATGGATTCAAAGTGCTCTATCGGCTCTATCCACCTGCTGTACAGTATATTGTATGTATCTGTATATGTATATACATACATTTGCATACTGTAATAAGAATATAATCCACTAATGAAAAACCCTTAAAACCATAAATGACCACACAGCCAGGCAACCCTGATCCATGTCCGCCTTTGCACACCAAGGCGGCGACGCTGGCTTGAAGGCTACCACTTTTGGCATCCAAAACAAGCTGAAGCGGACCAAGTTTCAGTTCTTTATTTGGGATTGGCCTGGCGCTTTCAATCAAGCATCATGCAAAATCCCTTGAAAGACGTCGTGAGAAGGAGTCCTTTCCAGGTACGTGGCCAACACATGCCGCAGCTTCCCGAATGGCTTTTGTCCACATCGGACTTGGGTACCCGGTCCAGTGATTTGTGCATTGTTGGAAAGGCTGTGATGCGAATAAGCAGAGACGAGGAATTGATGTGGCAAAGGTACCTGTGGCCACGGCATCGACTTTGTGCAGCCCTTGGAACTTGTTTTTTGTTTCAAGGTCCGATGTCAAGGCAAGGTGTTCTATAGTACTCAGCAACTGAGTCAGGAAAGGTACTGGAAGAAGGAACCTAGCATGTGTTGCTGAGAAGGGGTAATTAAGTCGATAACATGGAGTTTATAAGTAATTAATGTAGAAGGGCTATGACATCATAGAAAGTTGTATTCACAGCCTCCGAGCAATGCATGTTTGATTGTGCTTGCAGCCTGTGAGGTGGCTGGCGTGCATTTGCGCCATGGCACTGGCCGCTAACTGGGAAGACTGTGTGAGGCCGTAGGTCTTTCTGACAAGCTCCGAGAATTTGTTCTAAGCAACCGATGAAACTACAGTTTCAAAGTTTCATACTGCTCCTTCATTTTGATGAACGCATGTGATTTTGGGTGGACACCGCAGGTCAGAGCTGAGTCCTGTGCGGTCGGTTGTCGTCAGTTGTCACTGCGCTTTGTTTAACTCGGCGGCAAGGCACTACCGAAGTTGGCAGCGGCAGCATGGCGTTTTCACATTGGCACCAAACTCTGGGCAGGTTCGGGTTTTGAGTCAAATTATCATGCATGAATGTGGCTCAATGTTTAAGATCGTTACAGATGTGGTTGACCTCAAAAGCATTGAATGCGGCCAGGTGCAGTTGGCAAGCCACCATGATGTGTTGCCAGTGTAGAGGCATGTAGAGGCAAAATGCTTGCAGCACTTACAGAGACTGTACAGCCAAAACAAGGTGCTGAAAAGATCAGCAAGATGCAGATGCTGAATGTTGTGGAATACTATCCGCGATGCAGAAGACCCAGCTGTGGTCCCAACGGCCCAACGCCTGACCGAAACGATTGCTGGATTGAGGAAATTGGTCCGCATAGACGGTGCGCGACAATTGGATTCCATCATTTCCATCAGCGAGTGTCCATGAGACCATGATCATCATGAAACCGCTAGTGCATGCGGAACTTCTTGTTCTGCAGGCCGTGTTCTGTGTGCTTTCAGGGTTTCTAGTCACCGCGGGACTCCGCGCTTTCCTAGAGCCACAAGATTGATATTTTGAACATCAATCGGCATCAATTGGTTCGTTTCCAATTATATGACTGGATCAGCGTTTCTATATTTGTGTGTTCCACCTCAAGTCTTAGATCATACCGTCATGCCTGCTCGCCATGAACCGCTGAACATGACTCTTGACCGATTGAGATGTTGGCTCAAAGGCGAGCCTTATGATGAAGCGAAAAACAAGCCGTGATGATGGTTTTCGCAACGAGTCCTCCTTCGTGCGAACAGTGTCCTTGAGATACTCGGTGAAACGAGTGAGATACTCGGCACGGGGGGCGGCAAGCTGCAGCTAGCCCAAAAAGTTGGGTTGTCGATTTTGTTTTGTTTGCCCTTATAGTGTTAGTATTAGGACACTTTCATTGTTTGGAGGTGAGTGGCCGCACCATCCCTTTTGTACATTGTGAACAGAAAGAACGCTGCCGGTAGCCCTTACGGCCGGCGCATCCTATGTGTTCCTATTGCCGCTTTCCTGGGAGTGGGACACATGAGGGGTGGGCACAAACCTGGGTTGTTTCCCTTCGCTTGGGGATTACATCCATCCATGTAAATGTTTTGACCATGGTTCATAGTGTTGCATTGCTAAAGCATTAATTGAGGCCTTTGCACCTTCGAGGCAGTCCCACGTGAAACCTTGAAGCTTTCCCATCAAAGATCTAGGCCAAGGAGGAATGGGGAAGGGGCTGCGGCGCGCGGAATCGCCGCTGGGCCCCCCTAGCTCCCCACAGTGGCGGGCGCAGTCTCTAGAGCCTGTAGAAGGGGCTGCGGCGCGCGGAGTCGCCGCTGGGCCCCCGCGGCTGTGTGCGCTACTGCCATTGTGATTTGCATAACAACGGTTCTCATTGCCTGCGAATCGCATTGTAATGGCTGCGGCACGCATGTTGGCAAAGTGTGTTTGCGCGCTACTGCCATGGTGATTTGCACAGCAAGGGTTCTCATTGATTCGGAATCGCATTGTAATGGTTGCGGCACGGATGTTTGCAAAATGTCTCTGTGCGGTATTGCCATAGTGATTTCCACAGCAAGGGTTCTCAGCTCTCCATAGTGGCGGGCGCAGTCTGCAGAGCCTCCAGAACGGGCTGCGGCGCGCGGAGTCGCCGCTGGCCCCCCCCCGCGGTTGTGTGCGCTACTGCCATTGTGATTTGCGTAGCAACGGTTCTCATTGCCTGCGAATCGCATTGTAATGGCTGCGGCACAGAAGTTGGCAGAGTGTGTCTGTGCGCTACTGCCATTGTGATTTGCACAGCCCGGGCAATCAATGCCTGCGAATCGCATTGTAAATGCTGCGGCGAGGGCGTTGGTGAAGCCTGTCTCTGCGCTACTGCTATTGTCGTTTGCAGTTCTCTAGTTTGGTGTTCGAAGATTGCAAGTGTTTTCTCACGGGTTTTCAAACGCTGGGGCTCAGGGCAGACTGCCATACTTCCTGCTGAAGTTTTTGCGACGGACGAAAAGAAAAGGCGCCAAGCATAAATCACGAGCTGGGAAGCTTCAGACATCTTGAGTCAGTGGTTTGGGAAGCCTTCAGTGTTGAAAATATATTCGGTTTGAACTCACTGACTAATCGTGCGAGTTGACCGGAGCTCAGGTCCTGCCTGGAGCTCGCTCTACATCTCTGCGTAACAGAAAAAAAGCGCGTCTCACCTCTTCTTGCTCTTTACATCCTGCTAGCACTGCCCGCCGTGGTCGGGATAAGACCACTTGATAGCTTTGATGGTCGTTTCGAGTGTGTTACGTTTTGAAGGTCTCATGCGGATCTGATCGCAAAATCCAGAGCCTCCAAACTTCTCTCTCCGCCTCCTTCTCTCTCTCTCTCGTCCCTCTCATCCTTGTTCATCACATCATCAGACACTTTATCACACACCCACACACACACGCACGCCATCTTACCACACACACACACCTCCTCCCTCCCCTCCTTCGCATCCTCGTCCATCACATCATCACTTATACTACATGTCTTAGCACAACCGCCTCATATACCTTCTCTCCTCACACTTCGTTCTTGACTTTTCATCTCACTACTCCGTCTCCCATGTGATGTTCATATACATTTGAAATTTGTAAAACTTATCATGTGGGGTTATCCGGTCCTTTTATTTTATTATGTTTGTTACGAAGTTTGTACATGGAGGTTCGTAAATTGTTGTGGCTGGCACGAAATTTGCAGATGGAGGTTCACAAAGTGTTGTGCCTGCCACGAAATCTGCATATATAGGCTTACAAAGTGCTTCGCTTGCTAGCCTGCCACGAAATTTGCACCTCGAGGTTTACCCAGTATTGTGCCTGCTACGAAATTTGCATATGGAGGTTCCCACAGTGTTGTGCCTGCCACGAAATTTGCATATGGAGGTTCACACAGCGCTGTGCCTATCACGAAATCTGCACATGGACACGACATCTGCGCATATAGGTTCACAAAAAGTGCTGCGCTTGCCAGCCTGCCGCGAAATTTGTACCTCGAGGTTTATCCAGTCCTGTCCCTGCTACGAAATCTGCATGTGGAGGTTCCCATAGTGTTATGCCTGCCACGAAATTTGCATATGGAGGTTCACAAAGTGCTCTGGCTCATGGAGGTTCACAAAGTGTTGCGCCTGCCACGACATCTGCACGTCAAGAAACAAATAACAATTCTAATCACAATGGAGGAACGATTCCGAGAATGATCTGATCATGATCCGACCATGATCCGACCATGATCCGACTATGATCCGAGAATGACCCGACGGTCTCGCACACAGCGTTCCGCAAAGCTTGACTTGCCAGCTTCGGACCCACATTTCGCGCGTCCGCTATCCTCTCGAGAACGCATTTTGTATTGCGCCTGCCACGAAATCTGCACTTGGAGGTTGACAACGTGCTGTGCCTGCCACGAAATCTGCACCTCAAGCTTCACAAAAGTGCTGCGCCTGCCACGTAATCTGCACATGGAGGTTCACAAAGTGCTGCGCCTGCCACGTAATCTGCACGTTCACAAAGTGCTGTGCCTGCCACGACATCTGCGCGTCAAGAAACAAATGAAAACTCTAATCAAGGGACGATTCCGAAAATGATCCGGCCATGATCCGAGAATGATCCGAGACCGTCTCGCACACAGCGTTCCGCAAAGCTTGACTTGCCAGCTTCGGAGCCACCCCTTCTATTGAAAAACACAATATTTCGTGCATCTGCTATCTCTCGAAAACGCATTTTGTATTGCGCCGGCTACGAAATCTGTACCTGGAGGTTGACAAAGTGCTGTGCCTGCCACGAAATCTGCACCTCAAGCTTCACAAAAGTGCTGCGCCTGCCACGTAATGAGCGCATGGAGGTTCACAAAGTGCTGTGCCTGCCACGAATTCTGCACATGGAGGTTCACAAAGTGCTGTGCCTGCCACATAATCTGCGCGTTCACAAAGTGCTGTGCCTGCCACGAGGTCTGCGCATCAAGAAACAAGTGAAAATTGTAATCACAATGGAGGGACGATTCCGAGAATAATCCGACCATGATGGGATTATGATCTGAGAATGACCCGAGACCGTCTCGCACACAGCGTTCTGCAAAGCTTGACTTGCCAGCTTCGAAGCCACCCCTTCTATTGAAAAACACAGCATTTCGTGCGTCCACTATCTCTCGAGAACGCATTCGAGAACGCATTTTGTATTGCGCCTGCCACGAAATCTGCGCCTGGAGGTTCACAGAATGCTGCGCCTGTCACGAAATCTGCACCTCGAGCTTCACAAAGTGCTGTGCCTGCCACGAAATCTGCGCCATGGAGGTTCACAAAGTGCTGCGCCTGCCACGTAAATTGGAGCTAGAGCTATTGAAACTAGAGCTAATTGGAGCTAGAGCTCTTGAAACTAGAGCTACCTGGAGCTAGAGCTATTGAAACTAGAGCTACCTGCAGCTAGAGCTCTTGCAACTAGAGCTAATTGGAGCTAGAGCTCTTGAAACTAGAGCTAATTGGATGATGAGTGGTGTATGTTGAGTGGTGTATGATGAGTGGTGCATGATGAGTGGTGTATGATGAGTGATGTATGATGAGTGGTGTATGACGAGTGGTGTATGATGAGTGGTGTATGATGAGTGGTGTATTGATGAGTGGTGTATTGATGAGCGGTGTATTGATGAGTGGTGTATGATGAGTGGTGTATTGATGAGTGGTGTATTGATGAGCGGTGTATTGATGAGTGGTGTATGATGAATGGTGTGTTGATGAGTGGTGTATTGATGAACGGTGTAT